TTATTGTTATAATTCCTTTTGGTTGCCATGGCAACCAGATTTCTGCATGGAATGAAATTCTTTGAACAACTTTGGAAGCCCTTTACCCAAGGATCAATCCTGCCAAGTTTGGTTGAAATTGGACTAGTGGTTTTTCACAAGAAGATTTTGGAAGTTCACTATATAATGTATATAACACACACACACACAAACAAACACACGCACACACACACACACACACACACACAGAGGTGAATCGCTATATGCCACAGCATCGCAGATGCTGCAGTGGCATAAAAACTTGACCAGCTAGACCTTAGATGTTTAGCATGAAACATCTTCTAATGGGTGTCTACTAAGTTTGTTCAAATAAAAGCCCTGGGGTTTAAACTGGCCCCGCTACGGGGGCCTATATACAGGTGAGCGACTTCAGGGCCATCATGGCCCTCTTGTTTTATTTTCCCTATAATTGATTAATAGGTTTGTCCTGCGAGATTCAAAGATGGTCAATTCCATTTAAGATATTAGTCATGGTTAGGGTGAGGTGTTCTTAATGTTAAACTGAAAGAAATTAAATCTGGTCATATCGAGTGCAACTTAATTATAACCTGGCTGCATTATAGGTGGCATATGTGTTATAATTATCACCACTAATGTGCTAAACAAAAAGTCATAAAGTTTTGTATGATCAAAATCACACCCTCAAGTTCTTACTAACATTAACACTAATGGTATTGTCATACATAGATATTGGAACAGTCCATTGATAATCTGGAGGTGGGGGGATTACATTATTAAAACTGAGCCAACCTATCAGTAACATGTCCGATCAGATACCGTGTATGTTTAGACTGGCTTAGCTCAATACCAATAGCGGTACAGACAAGTTGTTATAAACAATTGCGACCAAAGGGCTATATTATATGCAGTATCATTCTGTTTGGACACTAATCTTGAAGTATTTTAACAAATGGTACACTTATCAAGTGTAAGGGTCAAGTAGATATTTATTATCATTGATGAACAAATAGATTATATCAGGTTCATTTCGTTAACTGCTAATAACTGATCTAGATCTGAAAGTGCACATCCTATGTGATCCCACTGTTCTAAATGAGTTAGCAGGCCAAAATGTTCCCGACTGTTCTGAATTTCACAGGCTTAGGATACTAGTATCCTGAATTTTTTTGTAAGAATAATTTGTGTCTAATAAATCTTATTGAAAATGGTAAACTGGCAGTTACAGGTTACCCCTTGGAGTATTACTGTACATTATGGTACTGTATGCAAAATGCAAGAAAAATTATGTTTTTTTTTTTTTAATTTGCACATGGCTTATTATATTACATGTACAAGTACCGGTATGTCTAACCAGGATTTTTAAATAAAAAAAATAGTTTTCCAAATTGTCCTGAAAAAAGAATGAAAAAGAAAACAAATATCATGAGTGGAAATCAATTTAATATCATTCCATCACACACATTTTACTCTTTTTTTTCTCTTAATTTTTAAGTCTATATTTTTTTCTCATTTTTTGCCTGGCTGCACTGATGTAGCGAAGCCAACTTGGTTGTTAACCTGGTCAAATTCTGTGTAGAATTGTCCAATGAACACATCTCCAAGAATCCATAGAGGTCCTGCAGGGGGTGGCACATTTAGTCCAAGGAAGCCACTGATACACTGTGTTTGACCTCCCTGTGAGACCTGCACGAAAATAATTGTTGTTAAATAATGGTACGTAGCATTCTGCAATAGCTATGAGATACATGACAGAATATATTCAGAATCCATCTGCAAAACAATCCTATTTTTCTCTTTCTTTTCAGTGTATGGTACGATATAGAATTATAAATCATGTATTAATATTATAAGATACTTTGGTTGCATTTTTTTTTTACTTGCTTCATGATCAGTTAACAAATTATACAAGTTACAAACAACAAAAAAACTAGCATTTACTTGTGAGAAAATAATTATAATTTAATAACTAATTACCGGTAAGTAAAAACAGAGGGGGTGAAATACACCATAAAACCCACTGCCTCTACAGGAAGTTAGGAAAGTCTACACCAGAAAAAATAATCTTACATGTACAACAGTCGGGCTAAAAATGCAGGTCACAACCATAATGTGAATGTGAATATATAAAATGAAACTGGAGCAGCTATTGCTAGGCATGTAATATCAGTCATAAACAATTGATGTTTATTTTGGTGTATAATGATGCTTACTAGGATTTTTACCTTTTATATAATTTTATACATGTACAAATATTCCCATAGAAAAAACACTACTGAAATATGATTTAGAACACTTCTTTCTATGAGGAACAAATAATAGCTCTTATATTAGGACTGCTTTAAAGTTACATTAAATAAATATGTTAAAATATGTTTGCCGTCGGCCTAAAAACCAAGCATTCTACAGTTTCATTAACCTTTTTAACAGTATCGTTGTAAATCTCATCAAATATTGTTCATAAATTAGGATTTTAAATGGAAAACCCCACGGTAACACTAAAATTCGTATACGAATTTTAACATGCAAATGAAGACTATAATCAGCTCGTGTATGCGCTACGTCACGGAGTTATAGTTGCTATCCGGAACACAGCAAATATAAGATTTTCTTGTGCAAACACACTTTTACCGTTTAAGCTTTACTGTGCACTAGGCCTGTGGTTCAGACAGAAAAAATAATCATCTCATAAAAAAGATTAAATTTGTATGAAAATATCCGTTACAATGCGGATATATATACCGTTAAATTAGGACTGCTACTTATAGTCATGTTTGTTGATTTAATATTGATGTACGGATGATCTGAAGGCGGAGTTTCTCATGCAAACAGAAATTGTACTTCCGAATTCGCCACAATGAGGTTGCACATTTGTATGCTCATTAAACTCATTTTGGTTGCCTGGACACCAAAATAAGATCTGGAGTCGATATGAAACCCAATTTATTAATGAAATGTCGCTTATCCTTTTTTAATGAAATTTATTTAATGTAACTTTAAAGACTTAAAACAAGATTACATTTTCCTTTTCTATTTTCAAACACTTCAATAACTGAGTATTCTTTTGAAACAATCCTGATAACTTCAGAAGAAAGAATTTCAAACAAGAGTTGGTTATGTCCAGCTTCTTGCATTTCTCCTAGGAACTTGATTTATTAATCGGTATCTTTCATATTTGGTAGGTAGATACCTTAGGTGTTCTGTTTTCAGAGTTTATGGTTACTAGAGTCAAGATAACCCAAGTTTGATATACAATTTACACTTTTACTTGAACAGTCTTCTTTCATCAAAAGATGTCTTTTATAATTGGTAGGTTCATACATTGGGAGATATTCTCACTTCAGTTTGAGTTAGGGGTCACCAGCTTTTATTGATGTTCAATATTTGAATGGTTTTATACAATACATGATTCTGTATATAACATATATTACATGTATTTTGTCAGTAAAAAAATATTTGAAATTAGCTTAAAATATTGTAAAGGAATAGAAACATATAATATATGTGATGAGTGCTACTGGTATGTATATTTTCACTTAATAAAAGTGCAATATTTTGGGAGGTCAGGGAAATGGAGTGAAAGGAAGAACAACTCAAAAAATTGACTTAAAAAACATATAATATTAACTTATATCTGACAAAAATATCACACATTCCATAGGTAAACAATAGAAGAAAATGATGTTAATTTTGATACATATGAACACTACCTGTGCAAAGAAATAAAATAAGCTTGATGTTTACTACAAAACAAAAGTGCCTAATTGTTTACTAATGTTTGAAGATTTATATTTCATTTTTACATAAAGTGTTACCAAAATTCATAATAAAGGCACAGACTCTAGTGATCACTGAGTAAGATTTTTTTTTTTTGCAAAAGACAAAAGTATGCTCTTTTCAGACAATCAGACCCTGTCAGTATTCATGGTTACTACATGCACTCAGTATTCATGGTTACTACATGCACTCAGTATTCATGGTTACTACATGCACTACAACAAAATAAATCATAGATATGTAGAAATAAAGTTATATAGTATTTAATTTTCTCCACAAGTCCCTTTTAGTCTTAAGTCAGTGAACAACAACAATATTGTACCAAAATCCAAACACTTGTATATTCACCGTGATAAAAATGGACGAAAGTATTGTGTTGCCAGGCAACAAGGACAAAAACATTTATCATAATATCAACAACAAGAAAAATAACACAGATACAAATGGAATGATGGTGTACAGAATAAAACAATTCTAGTTAGTACAACCATTTTCAAAAAAATCACTTGGTATTAGATTTTTCTTCATTACAGTCAAACCTGTGTCAGACATAATTTCTCAATAAACTCTTTCCATTATACTTAAAATATAACAATAAAAATAAAATCTTTACCTATCTTTTATGTTCAGCCAGTGTGTTTAAATAAAATTTCTGTTTGGACAGACTACTAATGTCAACAAGGATCACAATTTTATTACATAAGACTGGTCTTTAAAGACAAGTTTTACTGTCATCCATTGTACCATAGATATAGTTAAGTTTTTCCCATATGTTACATTTTCTGTGATGTAATTTTATTTTTCCCAAAGATCAATCAAATAAAGCTATGCAATATTTTTATCCATTTGACATTCATAAATATTAAAAACGATAGGTACAACAACTTTAATGAACAAGAAATTGCTGACTTGAATTTTATACTGCAATATGTACAAACAAAGAAAAATAAGTGCCAGGAAAAAATATATCTAAGCACAATTTCATTGAGCAAGTGTGATGCATATCTTAATAGGAAGAAACTCTTAACAATTCTATTTGTAAAATGCAAATTAAGCAGAGCAAAGAAGTCCACTTTCACTATTTTAAAAGATCTTCAAATAAAACAACCGAGATTCTTTTTAAAGTAAAGAAAAATGAAATAGAACACAGATGAATATTCCTAAAATCATATGCACCCCTAACAAGAAAATTCAAACCATCAAAAAAATATTATTTCATATTCGGTAGAATTATGTGATATTTCATACATGATGACACAACAAAAACTATAACTGTATGGCAAATTATATATGCGGTTAAACTGTTATTCTAAAGAAACAGATCTTTGAAAATGAGCACTTTTCTTGCTATATAGCACAAACGTTTCCTTTTCCAGTACTGTGATGTTTATATAAATCAGTCTGATTAAAAAATTTGCGATTATTTTTCCAATTCCTATAACTTAAATAAAAATTTTATATTTGTTAAAAGCTTATGATAATTTCTAATATGATGCAACTTTATCTAACAAATATCATACCAGCAGTCATTTTTGATGGAATAACAAAACACCTAGTAAAAGGATTGCTTTCCAAATGAATATAATCTGAGGGAAGAGATAACAGTTAGTCAAATTAACACAAGCCAGGCACTGCTCGAGTTATCCATAGATTTTGATAAAGTGTTTAATTCATTATCACAGAAATTTTCTTGTCGGCCCTGACAGTTTTAGCCGGCTGTAACCTGTACATCGGCATTTCTCTCATGGACTGTGTTGTATTCTGTACAGCTGTAGCAAACCCTACACGGCTATTTTCTTCGTCAAATTCTGTGTAGTACTTGCCGATGAAAACATCTCCAAGAATCCATAACGGACCTAGAGGCTTGGGTACATCAAGTCCAATAAATCCGACTATGCAAATTTGCTCTCCCATCTCACTGACCTATGTAAACAATGGGGAAAGTGGTGTAAAATAAGTGCATGGGTAAGACAGGATAATTGATTGAAAGGGTTTACAGGGATTTATATGTTTCTCACTCTAAAAGGTATTGGCTTTGTCTACATTTAATTACACACACTGCAATGTTGATTTTATTATAATCGGTATCAGACTACTATGGTAAATCTGAGCAGTCAAAAGTACAGAGTGTGGTCAGACTGTACCAATATACAGGCTGACTTGGTCATAAACTGATGGCCTAGCCAAGTCAGCATGGTCATTAACATTTAAACATTGAGGCACTTAATATAAATGATAAAATAGAAATTTTGGCATCATAATTTAAAAAAAAAAAATATTTTTAATCTTATTTTACAGTTTCTTTCATTTTTTCCACCAAGAACACAGGATAATTTGTTTAAATGAAAATAAAAAAAGAATTCATTTTGAACATATATCCCCACCACCACAGCCATCAATAATTTCGGAAAAGACCATTACATTGAAAGAAGTTGGATATTTGTAAACCTGTAAGCAATATTTACCTGTGCAAATATGGAATATAAGAAAATTATGTGTGGATTGATGGGTAATACTGACTGGTTTTGGGAAAGAATGAAAAATTACCTTTAGGACGTATTCTGCTCCTGTAAGAGTGAATTCCTTTCCAGCAAGTGTAAACACAACTGGGGGAAGGCTGTCTATGCTGCCACAGTCAACTATATACTGAAACAATTAAATAAACAAGTAAACAAGAGCTGTCAGTAGGACAGTGTGCTCAACTTTTGTAAGTGCTTGATAATAAAACATGAGCCTGGATAATGTAGAATTTTTCTAAGTTAACAAAAGGCCATAATTCTGTCAAAAACCATGTTAGAGTTATAGGCCTTGTGCAGTGACCTCCTACTTAGCTCTCAATTAAGTGAAATGTGTGAAGTTTCAACCCAATTAATTAAGTAGTTTTGGAGATATTAACTTGTAAATTGTGATGCAGATGCCAAGGCTCTCCCTAATTCTGTTAATAAATCCAAGCTAAAATCATAAATATATAAAGAAATAATAATTAGGATAAAATATTCTGACTTTATTATATATTCAGAGATGATCAAATATTCTTAATCTATCAAATAATGAAAAAATTAGTCACAATATGCAGAAATGATCGAATATACTAAATTTTAATGCATTTATCAAATAATACAGGAATGGTCAAATGTACTCACTGAAAAAACACATAATGTAGAAATGAACAAATGTACTGAATTTAACACATAATACAGAAGTGGTCAAATGTACAGAATTTAACACATAATGCAAAAATGATCAAATGTACTAAATTTTGATGAATTCAACATATAATGCAGAAATGTTCAAATGTACTGAATTTAACACATAATGCATAAGTGGTCAAATGTACTGAATTTAACACATAATGCAGAAGTGGTCAAATGTACTGAATTTAACACATAATGCAGAAATAGTCAAATGTACTGAATTTAACACATAATGCAGAAGTGGTCAAGTGTGCACTTGCATAGAGGAGTGACAGAGGTTTTTATTCACGCTTTAAGTTGACATTGTTACCATTAAAAACTAGTATAATAACAAGAGCTGTCGGTAGGACAGCAACGCTCGACTATTCTTAGTGCTTGATAGTAAAAAAAAATGCTTGATACAGTTACCTCCTCCTGTTTACAGGTTGGGGTAATGATGGTGAACAAGTGTGCAAAGTTTCAAAACCATATGTCAATGAACTTTGAAAATATTTAAGGTATTACAAAAACTTTAACATAAATTCTAAGTCGAAAAAGGGGCATAATTCTGTCCAAATGCTTGATACAGTTACCTCCTCCTGTCTACAAGTTGGGGTCATGATGGTGAACAAGTGTGCAAAGTTTCAAAGCCATATGTCAATGGACTTGGAAAATATTTAAGGTATTACAAAAACTTTAACATAAATTCCAAGTCGAAAAAGGGGCATAATTCTGTCAAAATGCTTGATAGAGTTACCTCCTCCTGTCTACAGGTTGGGGTCATGATGGTGAACAAGTGTGCAAAGTTTCAAAGCCATATGTTAATGGACTTTGAAAATATTTGAACTCTTACAAAAACTTTAACATAAGTGGTTACGCCGACGCAGACGCCGACACTGACGGCGACGCTCGGGTGACTGCAATAGCTCTACTTATTCTTATCGAATAGTCGAGCTAAAAACTAACCTCTCCTCCGACAATGGGTGTAGCACCAATCTGTTTGTTAAGTTTTGCAATTTCCTCAGTGGGTCCAGCAAGAAGTGAAGTGCCAGTGTCAGCAATAGCCTGACATCCACCATCACAATAAGTGCTAGAGCCAACAGTGATGCTGTAATATACAAACATATAAATGTATTCTCTTGTACCAAGTTGCCACTCTTGTACCAAGAGGTTCTGCTTGTACCAAGAAGTTCCTCTTGTACCAAGAAGTTCCACTTGTACCAAGGAACTCCTCTTGTACCAAGGAACTCCTCTTGTACCAAAAATTTCCTCTTGTACCAGCAAGTTTCCACTTGTACCAAGAAATTCTGCTTGTACCAGGAAGCTCCTCTTATACCAAGATGCTTTTCTTGTACCAAGCTAGCCTGTTGTACCAAGAAGTTCCACTAGTACCAAGAAACTAGTCTTGTACCAAGTAGGTCCTCTTGTACCAAGCTGGTCCTCTTGTTCAAAGAAGCTCTTTTTGTACCAAGAAGGTAGTTACTCTTGTTCCAAGTATGTAGGTATATTTGTACTAAGATGCAAGTTAAAGGATGTATCATAATAATTGATACAAGATCATATAATTATGATTTACTAATATCAAAGTACTATACATGTATTGCCTATCTTGTCCTAAATGTACAAAACCTACTATTATTTACATCTTGCATACAATATTCACCCACATATACAAGTGAAGTGTATATTGAATGTGTTTTAAGAGCATGTTTCAACAATTTTTATTCTTTCTCACAATACTGGGTGTCTACAAATCTAAATAATTTTACAATAAGTATCAAGTTAAACATACCTGTCCATTTTGAATTGCCAGTATCCTTGTCTAGTGACAGGTACATATGTGAAATTACCAGTGTAATATTTTGGGTCACTGCCTCCAAAGATCAGCTCACCACCACTTTCAGCTTGCGGGTTTCTGTAATTCCATAAAATAATAAATTTGTGATTTCAAACAATTTACATGATTATTGATATTCTGATTCACATTTTCACCCCTTGAAAAAGAAGAAACATTTTAAGACTTCTGAAACAAATATTCTTAATTTGTTGCATTACAAAAGCTAAAATAACATTTTTGTAAAATAATCTGTACTAAAGTACCTTAATTGAAATAATGATGTAAGTAAATTTTCAATTAATACGGGTAATGCACAAATGAAATTATTGCTAAACCACCTAGAAATATCAGGTGACTATTTTGTTTAGGAATTTTACAGTTAGTTTTTTTTATAACCATGTATATTAAAACAATAAAGGCATCCTTGGTTAAACCTCTCCAGACATGACAATTTGAATATGAAAATAGCATGAATGCATGGAATTAATTACATTGAAATTTTAATTAAATGTGTGGCAACAGTGCATTCTCAGTTGTTAAAAGTTTAATTTCGTTTTTTCTCCTTTAGAAGTCACAAACTTGAAAATTTCCATAAAAAAAATCATGGAATTTACAAGTACTGTTCCACAAAACAAAGAGGAAGTGCAGCATTAAAAAAGTAGCTATAGATACCTGTCCAACCAGAATGAGAAAACTGCCTTTGGAACCAAATGTTCTTCAACAGCTGTATCAAATACTGGTGTTACACCATCAACAGAGATTGTTTTAAATCCCATACCAAGAATACCGTCAAATTTAGCAGCAACAAATGTTATACCTGGCTGCTGGGTGGCTTCTGCAAATGTCTGATCAGTGATTTTCAAAGATCCAATCTGAAAAAAAAAGAGGAAATGATACTCCTTCAAAGTCTTCTTAAAATCTATATTGTTATTTATAATCGTCACCTTAGTGCAGTAATGGGTTAACTCTTTTCATTGTACATGATTGTATGTGATAGCAATGTAACTCCATGTTTTGAAATTAGGTACAAGCAGGCACAATTATGTTTGATACTATATATTAATACTATAATAAAATAGTTTAAAATCAGGATATAACTCAAACCAACAGAGATAAAGAGCATGCATTTCTATATCATTACATTAACAACAATGGTTTCATTTTAGAAAATCAAACAAACACTTATAATAAAAGAAAATGTTTTTAAAAGTTTTTGAACATCTAAAATAAATATAAAAAATTCAAAAGTAAATGAGTTCTATCAGGCCGTGTTATGATTAAGATTAACTTACTGTAACAGTGTCTGTGCTTAGGAAACCTGAAAGAGATCCAGATCCATATCTGATCTCAAATTTTGTTCCATTAGCCTTGTATGTTGACGATTTGGTGCTGTCATATTTCTGGTGAAGTACTGAAAAAGTTTGTTTACTATATTATAAAGAAAGATTTTATGAAGAAAATTCCTATCTGTATTGCAATTAGCTATACTCATTAAGCTAAATTCAAAATACTTATTAAGACTGACACCATGGCAAAGTTTACATTACATTACATCACATAATGTTTCAGGGAATTTATTGGATGATAATAAATCCCTTTCAAAATCAATGAAGCAAAAAAGTAGATTAATCTAGTTACCCGGTAATCAGAGGGTAGAACTCTGGTTTAATTATAATTACAAGACACTTTCAAATTAATTCTCAAGAAATCTGGTATCAGATATGTCTATCCTAGTTCTTTTATGTTCAATTACATTCATTCTTTACAGTTAAGATGATAGCATTTGCCATTTAGAAATTCCATTCAACTAGTAGTAATTAGTGCATAACATAAAATCATTGTTTTGGTTGATAAATACTTACAACAGGCAATGTCTGAGAGTTTACACTTCTTAGATGGTACCCACAGGTTTGATGACCCAGTATCAAACACAACATTGAAACTCTGAGGAGGGGTACCAATGGTAATTGGTCCATAGTATTGAGCCTAGAACACAAATATATATGCTATATAACTTAAACAGAGAACATCATAATTGCTGTGTCAATTGAGAAGAACAGACATGCTGTGTCAATTGGGAGGAATAGAACTGCTGTGTCAATTGGGAGATATTAAAATGCTGTGTCAATTGGGAGAAATTAAAATGCTGTGTCAATTGGGAGAAATTAAAAGGATGTGTCAATTAGGAGAAATTAAATTGCTGTGTCAATTGGGAGAAATTAAAATGCTATGTCAAATGACAGAAATAAAATGCTGTGTCAATTGAGAGAAACAAAAATGGTATGTCAGTTGGGAGAAATTAAAATGCTATGTCAATTGGGAGAAATTAAAACTCTGTGTCAAATGGGAGAAATTAAAATGCTGTGTCAGTTGGGAGAGATTAAAATGCTGTGTCAGATTGGGGTTATTAAAATGTTGTGTCAATTGGGAGAAATTAAAATGCTGTGTCAATTAAGAGAAAACAAAAATGCTGTGTCAGTTTGGAGATATTAAAATGGTATGTCAGTTGGGAGAAATTAAATGGCTGTGTCAACTGGGAAAAATTAAATTGCTGTGTCAACTGAGTGAAATTAAAATGCTGTGTCAAATGGGAGAATTAAAATGCTGTGTCAGTTGGGAGATATTAAAATGCTGTGTCAATTGGGAGAAACAAAAATGCTATGTCAGTTGGGAGAAATTAAAAGGCTGTGTCAAATGGGAGAAATTAAATTGCTGTGTCAATTAAGAGAAACAAAAATGCTGTGTCAGTTTGGAGATATAAAAAAATGGTATGTCAGTTGGGAGAAATTAAAATGCTATGACAATTGGGAGAAATTAAAATGATGTGTCAATTGGGAGAAATTATATTATTTAAAATGGTGTATAAAGCTATTATATGCTATCTGTAGTTCAGAAAATCATCGTTTAAATTTTGAAAAAAACTATTTACAAAATACTTGAAAGAACTGTATTTGTTTATTTACTAAAGAGTGAATGCAGGCTACTGCACAAAATCATTGCTAAATGGTTAAAGCCCTACTGAAAATAGCAGCACAATATTTTGTTTGGGGACATTTTATTTTGATTACACATATTAATATCCATGTGTGTTAAATAACAGAGATATTTTATGTTACATTTCTTTTATGAAAGGGAATAACTGTGCAAAAATACTTATCAGGCTTATTTGCCCTTTGAAATGGGATCCCGTATTGATAGTGGTTTGAAAGTAAATATCCTTGGTACAAGTAGCTTCTTTTGCACTAATGAGCAAAATGAATTTGCAGGCTACCTTCCCTTTAGAAATGCATACACATTTGTATAGTGAACAAACCTTACAAAATTGGAAGCATTTGTTTTGTAGATTTTGATAATAGACCTCCACAAAAAAGGTCAAAAAAAGGAGAGGTATAATTTTGCAAACATTAAGTTTAGGATTATAGTTTCTTTTCATATTGTGTCACATTTAATAGTGAGCATTTTTACCAAGTTTGAAGTAATAAGTTTACAGAGAATAAGGGAAACTCTCTACGAAAAATGATGCTAAAAAGCATACAAGAAATTGTCTTCATCAAGCATTTTATTAATCATACAATTTATTATATGTACGTACATGAACTGTATCTTGATACTATTCTATACATAAACTAGAACAATAGGTTACTGTTATCTACTGAATAATCTCCCCTATCTACTTATGACTCTGATATCAAAGTGTATCAATAAGATGTACTAGGACTTTCACATGAATGATCATGTTGCCTTATGACTCAAGTTCATTGCGAATGGAACAAAGTCTTTTCAACAATAAACAAGTTGTTAACAATGATTTAAGATTATGTATATGATATGATTTATACAGCTTATAGTTGTGTGTGTCTTAATTATCTTCGGCTGATTTGATTGTTTTAATTTTTTGTTTTTAAATTTTGTATCATAAATAAACATTGAAATCTTCCTAATGGAAAAGATGGGCTTGGAGACACTCCCTGATTGCTTCTTAATAAGTATTACTATTTAAATGTAATCCAAATGTTTGAAAGTCTGGCATGGTTTAAATTCATCTATTTAGAAAATTAGAAATAAATCAAAGACAGAAAAAGTAGCATATTAAAAATTATACAGAGAAATTGCAGAAAAAAACTAAGTAGTTAGACAGTGCCTCAAAAACAAATACAGACAGACAGCAGCTCAAATGTAACATCAAAGTAGTAAAGACTTAATGGTAGTTAAAAAGTATAAACATCAAAAGTAAAGTTAGTTAAACTTATATATTGGTAGTGAAAGTCAGAAATAGATAAAATTTACATTAATATAATTAAACAGTTAAAACTTACATCAAGACAAGGTACATGTAGTTAGACAGTAAAAAAATTACATCAAGATAGACAGTATTCACTTGCCAAGATATTTGGACAGTAAAAACTAATTAATGTACCTGGACAGTAAAAACTTTTATCAAGGTAGTTAAACAGTAAAAACTTACATCAAGATAGTTTGACAGTGGCTCAGGAGCTGGGCCATCTATGGGATAACTGTTATATTTCAATCTAAGAGATTCAATTGATGTTCCAACTTCATGGAGAGTACGCCTTACAGATTTCATCTTGTGCAATTTGATCCTGTAATATCAAAAGATTTGATTATATCTTTATCTGTAATGACTAAAGAGAACAATCATGTATACATACCCATGGGTTACACATAGAACTATTTAGCTGTGAAACCCAATACAATGTATGCTTTACAATGTATGCTTAGAAAGACTTGCATATCTTCATTTTATGCAACTGTCTTAGCATTGTAACAAAAATAGCTTTAGCCCCATTATCATATACATTATACATTGTAGGCATTATTTCATAGGTTTAGTTACAATTCATTTCAATTTTCAAAGATGAATTTCAGCTATATTTGATTTTATTTGGCAAATATACGGACTATTTGCATCATTTGACTTAATTTAATCACTATTTCTTGAGTCAGGGCCTCCTTTTGAAAAAAAAAACCTTTTAAGAAAAATTATGTGGCATCTTGGGAAAACTTGAGAAGTTTATAATTTACCTAAAGAATTTCAGAGGTTAATAATGTGTATGGTTGTGTACAGGTATACTTCTAAAAAAAATCTTTAAAAAAATTATGGGAAGTTGAAACATTTTCACTCTTTTGCAGCTGCAGTGAATAGATCTATATTTTCTATTATTTTAGGTGTATAACTGTTTATATGTTTTAAAGTGGGAAAGGAAGTTATATACTGTAGTTATATACTGGCACCTCGTGAAAATTAAAAAATGCAAGTATCGATACTTGGAATAGGATACCAAAAATATAAAACATATTATCATATCCGGTTACTATTCCAGTGATATTCATTACTCACCGGAATGACAGTCTAAAAAGCATAAATTACCTTTCAAGTCCATTGCACATGGATACAATAACCCCCAAAAGTAACAGCGCTAAACCCTTCATCCTTCTTCTATGTCCACTTCTTGTAAAGTGAGGATTTATAACAAAGAATCATGTGATGTTCAACTCGCGTGAAGATCATGTGACATTGTTCATTCGTGGTATCACGTGACTAAAATTTATTTTGGCGGGAAATTTTAAAAAACCGTCACAAGCCCGACTTAAAAGGAAGTTGCACTTATTCATTATCCCTCATGTACAGACTCAATAAAACCGACTCTGCAATTCTCTTGTAAGTTTGTTTTGAGGGATCACTTTGTTTCCAGATTTTTATACTTCACAACAGCAGGTGTCAAGTGCTGTGTGGCAGCTGTAAAAAGTTGCCCCGTGCTTCGCTTCGGTGTTGTTATATTTTTCTGGTCCTTCGGGATCATTGATGCCAGCACTATTAAGTGTTGAGAATTGAGTACCGCTCAAGCCGGTGCTAGGGGGCGTGAGGGATGTTGCACTTATTCATTATCCCTCATGTACAGACTCAATAAAACCGAGTCTGCAATTCTCTTGTTAATATACGTACCTGTTCCGAGGGATCACTTTGTTTCCAGTTTTTTAACTATTAAAATTAAATGTCTGAACTCTTATATATAGACTGGGGTTTTATAAAGATGAGATAAAGAAAATTCGTTAGAATACTGGTTTTGAATAACATACTGAAACGCGTAATTTTATTGTTGTTTTCTTCTTTAGATAAAGATCTATCCAGAGATGTAGACAGTGATTTTTCTCACTTAACTGGGACAGGTACGTTTATATATATACCTGATTGGGATGAGGCATTAGCCTCTTGATTTTGGGAAAAAATATCGCTAAAATTATTGATTTGGGAAGCAAAAAACCTGGTTTGCTTTAAGTTCAGATTTTTGGGAAAACTACATGATTTTAAAGAAAATTTCAATTGGGATGAGGCCCTTTTTTTGGAGTCTGTTATATAAGTAGGAAAATCACTGATAGATAACATCTATCTGTTTTTATGATATATCTTATCTATGTCCAGATTCTACATCTCAAGGTAGATGACGTAAATTTTAGATTCTATAATTCTGATTATGTTTTCTGTTTTGTAGATAACATAAAATTATATTTTAGAAAGTGCTTGTATAGACGATCAAATATTGTTTTTTTTTTTTTTTTTTTTTTTTTTTTTGGTTTGTTTTTTTTTGCTTTCTCATTTTGCCATCAATAAAGTGCTACTCATCCAAGATGTATAACAAACACTTATATACCCATACAAAAGTAGAATACTAAGATGTTTGATATCATCATCATCATCTTCAGTAATCGCCTCACTCTTTCATAGAGCATAATCGCGATGTACACTGTATATACATTTGATGTGATCCTTTTGAATAAATTTTGGTGTAAAAATCCCTATGAAATAGGCGTGCGTTTGTTTAGTTTTTTTTTGTTGTTTTTTTTTTTTTGTTGTTGTTGTTGTTTTTTGTTGTTGTTGTTATTTTTCTTTTTGATTTTAGTTCTTTTTTATTCAGTCCTTTAGTAGATCTAAACATTTTGTGAAATGTTCACGTCATTTCTCTCAAAAAGTTATATGTAAAAAAGCGCGCTGAGAATGTCTCTTTATCCTGCAAATTAATATAGATGCAACAAGCTGGAACATAATAAATGTAGCTATACATTTTACCCATACTGTATACATTGTATGTATTTTGTAAGTGATTGAAAACGTAATTCGATCCCACGCGGATTCTGTCAAATGCACGAACAGTTCTTGCTTTTCTTGCCACAGAGCTTTATTTGTAATAAAAGTCTCTGATCTTGCTCCAATCTTATTTTCAATAACTATCTTGAAAAATGGTAGACTATTTCTTACTTATCCATAAGAAAATATCGAAACTGATGGAAAATCATTAGTAGCGTCTGACCTAATTTAGTGTTAGAGAGTTTTCTCCCTTTTGCAACGTAATTCTCGCCACGTCATAGCCGGTGTCGCTGTCTCAAAATGGCGACTTCGTTGAGAGAAAAACAAATTACTGCTTTAAAGCGAATGTTGAATTTTAACGCCCCTATAAACAAAACAACTAATGTTGAACCTCAGTGGAAAGTTCTTGTCTATGATCGTTTCGGCCAGGACATTATTTCGCCTCTTCTTGGAGTGAAAGAACTGCGTGACTTGGGAGTGACACTACACCTGAATTTGCACTCTGATCGAGACACGATACCAGATGTTCCAGCCGTGTACTTTGTCATGCCAACGGACGACAATGTCCAGAGAATTTGCAGAGATCTCGAAAATCAGTTGTATGAATCATACTACCTAAATTTTATTTCAGCCATCCCCAGACAGAAATTAGAAGACTTGGCAAGTACTGCCATCAGCAGTGGCAGTGTCACACAAGTTTCTAAAGTGTTTGACCAATATTTGAACTTTATTTCATTAGAAGATGACATGTTTACATTGAGGCATCAGGATAGAGACAGTATATCATACTACTCGATCAACCGCGGAGATGTTAAAGATTCTGAAATGGAACAAATAATGGACACTATAGTAGAGAGTTTGTTTTCAGTATTTGTTACATTAGGAACGGTACCAATTATACGATGCCCCAGAGGTAATGCTGCAGAAATGGTAGCGGAAAAGTTGGACAAAAAGTTACGAGAAAATCTAAGAGATGCCCGAAATAGTTTCTTTACATCTGATAGTGTTCAAGCTGGACAGTTCAGTTTTCAACGCCCTCTTTTAGTGCTGTTGGATAGGAATCTTGACATAGCAACAATGCTCCACCATACATGGACATACCAGGCACTTAGTCATGATGTTCTAGACTTTAAGTTGAACAGAGTTGAAATAGAAGAAGCCTCTGAAGTAAGATCACCTGGAGGAACAAGACCTATTAAGAAGAAAAAATCATATGATATGCATAATACTGATAGGTGTGTAGTGTATATGAGACTTGTCAAATTGACAAGTAATTAATTCATTATGATAATTGTAAATCATGGATGATTGTATTTTAAAGTTTGTTCGAAATTCTTACTCACGTCAGTTTGACATAAATATTTGATTTATTTTGTTTAATTCAGTCACTCAAGAAGTAGTGTTCTGATTAGTAGAAGTGTCAGCCTCAGTTGTCAATGTCAAGTGGTATAAAAGGTTACTACAGCCTTGGAATCCCTTTCTTTAAGGGAATTCTAATTTACTCATGTTTGGAATCCATTCCTATTTCCATGCAGCTGCTTATAAAAGGTTGATGGTTCTACCAAATGACTAATTATTCTCCCTTGAAATAGTGAATAAAATGGCAGCTTGAATCTTCATTAATATGCATTATAAAAAGTTTCCATGCAACATCATAGGCTCATAGCATAGCTACTCAAGAAACTATTTCCTCATAGATACATGTAGTCATGTATTGTAGTCTGTACTTAAACTAAAAGATATAGTGATAATTTTAAATTAAATAAAATATCAATGAAGTATCTTGCTATATATGACATTGGCTTCAAATAACATCTTGTTGTTTTTCAGATTTTGGCAGATACAAAAGGGTAATCCTTTTCCTACTGTAGCAGAAGCAGTTCAAGAAGAACTTGACGCTTACCGTGCAAAAGAAGATGAAGTGAAAAGCTTGAAAGCTGCCATGGGAATAGAGGGAGAGGATGAATCAGCTATCAGTATGTTGTCAGATAATACAGCAAAGTTAACCTCTGCTGTTAGCTCATTACCAGAACTCCTGGAGAAGAAAAGGTTGATTGATATGCACACTAATATTGCAACAGCTCTCCTGGATCAGATAAAAAGCCGTAAATTGGATGTTTATTTCGAAACTGAAGAAAAGCTTATGAGTAAAGCTATGCTTGATAACCTAATGGAGATTATATCAGATCCTGAAGCAGGGACACCGGAAGATAAGCTAAGGTTATTTCTTATTGCTCTCATCTGTGGGCCAACTTTGAGCGATGGACAGATTGATCAGTATAGGGATGCTTTAGTAGCCGCTAATTGTGATGTGTCGGCTCTACAATATATTAGAAGATGGAAAGCTTACACCAAGATGACTGCAGCTCCGAGTCAATATGGTGGAGGAGGTACTAAAACTGTGAACATGTTTTCAAAATTAATGTCACAGGGGTCACAATTCTTCATGGAAGGTGTGAAAAATCTTGTGATTAAGAGACATAATCTCCCTGCAACTCGTATTGTAGATGCATTAATGGAATTGAAAACAATGCAAGACATTGAAGACTATCGTTACTTTGACCCGAAACTTCTAAGAGCAGATTCATCTATTCCTCGTAACAAATCTCCATTCCAGGAAGCATATGTGTTTGTTGTAGGTGGGGGTAATTACATTGAGTACCAGAATCTTGTAGACTATGCTAAAGGAAAATCAGCAACATCGCCAAAAAGAGTTGTTTATGGCTGTAGTGACTTGTCAAATGCATCACAGTTCCTCAAACAATTATCTCATTTAGGTCAAGAAATGTAATACATACATGTGATAGTTATTCATTTCAATTTTTTGATTTACATGCAATATAGTGCTCACAGTTTTAAAGAGGTGGCTATTTATTTGTAATTATTAAGTCAGAAGTATATCCTAATTTTCATAGACATCCATAATTATATGATTTTTTTTATTTGGAACCTAACCGTAAATTAGTCATTCTTTAATTTTGTATTTTGCAACCAAAATTTCAAAGGCGCTAATTTAACTTAAATGAACTTGAAATTGATCTAGAAGTAATTTCTTTGATGGATAGGGATTCTTTATAAAGGTGGTCATTACAGAACACTAGGGTATAAACATGTGTATAAACATCATAATTGTACAATTTATTTATTGTTTTACTTGCTTATAATTCTATTTATTTAAATATGATACACCTTAATTAGTATGTTCATTTGTATTTACAATTTATGATATCAGTCCTGTAGATTAAGTTACACAGAAACAGTATAAAGTGCTAATAACAGAAAAGATCATGACTGTACATACTTGGGATGGAAAAAAATTGTTAAATGTCAACATTATGTGTATTTTAGCACTTAAGATTGTCACAATATGCTACTAGAATGTGAACTTGTTTCATGATATATAATGTTCAGCTACATATTGCAATATAATATTATATCATGACACATCTATTACCGCTTGATTGTTAAATACTTTGTTATCATTCACTCTACAACTTTTAAAGCTTGGTCCCCTGTAAGTGTAAACTTCTTTTATACATACATAATGTCATAGGAAATTAAGAATTTGCTCTTATTCTGTCAAGTTTTAAAGTTACACATAAAATGACAATTTATTATAATTTGTTTAGCTTAACCGAAGTTGGAAGATCAGTAAAACTTGTATGAATATCTTTTTATATTAGTTGCGTACATTCTGGAAGTGCATGTTTTGTTCTTTTGGGGGGGGGGGGGGGGCTGCATTAATTAGAGCATTTATAAATTTTTTTTAAAAAACATGGTACTCATTTCTATGTATTATTGTAATAATTACTTGACAAACAATGATGTTCAGATTATTTTTTGTATGAAAAATAACAGAAATATGAAATTATAATATATGAAGTGACTGTCATTTGTATGTACTTCTTGACAGACATTGGACAATATGACATTTCAAACAGTCTAAAATAAATATTGAAAATTATTTTGTATGCTTTCTATTTCTGAGTAGGTGGTAATACCATCTGAAGATATCAGCATTCTATATTGTTTGTGTCTTAATTTACTCTAAACTGATTAAGAATACATTGTAATGCCTCAGTACCTCTATAAATTTAGTATCAAGGTAAGAGGTTTTCGCCTCACTAAGAAGATGGTATCCTTGCGTAAAAGAATAATCAATTATCCTTTAGCAGAATTCGAACCCAAGGATGAAAGGTTCAAGTGTCTTTGTGAAAAAGCCTGTCGGCCGTGGCATTGGGATGGGGATAATGTTTTGGCGTTGCCCGTTCATCCATCATTCTGATCTTAGGAGATAGACATGGGGTAAGGGTTCAATTCATACAAACTAGTTCTTGGTTCAAAATAAGCATGCATATGGGGTTGAAAAAGTAGTTTGTGGTGTTTAAAAAAGAGGTCTCTGAATATTTCTCTCTGCACCATTTCTTGGCAACAACTTAGTAGATATCAATGAAACTTTGTAGGAATATCAAAAGGAGATTTGAGTCTCATTTGCATGTTGTGGTCAAACCATTCAAGTCAGAGTAATGGCTCCTGATTAGTTTTGCAGTATGTATACTGAGAAACATTTGTGTCCATGCTATTTATTAGCAACTACAATGTACTTACTAGATTTTAACAAAACTTTTTTTGTAGTCAGGTACAGAGTAGTGGCAACATACAGAGATCACTTCTCTGTCATCTGTTTGTCCATCCCTCCACACTACCAAATTATTGGCCATATAACTGTAAACAGAACAAAAGAGAAAAAATAAAGTGAATTTCATAACAATAAAATAAAGGCCCTCTATTAAACAAAAGAAAATAACTAAAGTAATGGCCCTGCGACCCATTTTGGTTGCATGTCCATCTGTCATTGACAAAACTTATCCAACCTTCTCAAAAATTATTGGTGCAATTTCATACAAACTATACAGGAATGGTCAGTACCAAACTTAGTTGTGTATATCATCGCATTTTCCAGTTCAATGATTTTTGTCAGTTATGGCTTTTTAATGATTTTTATTTTAAAGTTTGTCTGGACGACTTCTTGTATACTTCTAATTCAATATGAACAAAATTCATGGTTTTTATGTTGCCCACTACTCAGAAGCTATGACATGCTTTAAAGAAGCTGCTACTGAGTTATGGCCCTGGAATAAAAGTTGTTTTGGTGTGTTGGTGACTTTTGTGTTACTTGGGGTTCAATGATATTTGTCAGAGTTATGGCCATTAAATGACTTTATTTCTTAAGTTTCTTCGCACTACCCTTATACTGCTAATGCAATTAGAATGAGATTTTACAGGATTAATTGGTACCTCAAATACAAATGTTCTTTTACTTGTTTCACAGGTTTTTCGGTTGTCTGATTTTTTAATCACAATTCTCAATACAACTTCATCAGGCTGTCATTACTCTTATTTCAAAAAGGAGATGCATGTAGCGTTGGTTTGCACTGATTGGACCATTCAACTCATAGGTATGGCCTAAATAATTTTGCTCTAAGTTAACAGGATAACCTTTTTTCTGCACAATTATTTAGCCACGGCTTACTGAAATTCAACAAAATTTTATGGGAACCATCAATACGAAAAAGAGATGGACATATCATTAGTATGTCCCTGGCCGACCAGTTAACGAGTTATAGCCCCTAAACCTGGCAAGCAGTAGGCAAGAGAAAGAACAATATATACCCATCCACACAAGGCCACCAGCATTTAGCAGAATTTATATGACCTTTTTTAGCAATGGATCACAGGTAAGCGATCTTTTGTTTATTTTTTTATATGTTATGTCGCAGCATTAACCATACTAAATAATTCTTTAAAGTAGAAAGCTTCTTGTCTCTAAATACAGGAAAGCAAAAAGATGTCTTATCGGTTCTTTCTAATCTTTGCAGTAGTTTCAGTACTTTGTGTCAATACCTCATAAACTTTATAAATGCAAGCCTTTAGAGACTCGGATCGCAATATGATGACATTTTCAGCAATTTATGAACATATACACTATTTAAGCAATGTTTTGATACAATCTAATTGACATATAAGATATTTTTTATTCAGCATTGTTACTGGAAAAGTCACAGGTCAGTAGTAATTTCTATACCGTTATTATCCTGACAAGTGCTATTCAGGCTAGTGGTGGATAGCTGCTAGCCTTAAGCTGTTCAACGTGCACGTGATATACTAGCTTAAGGTCTTCAGCGTACCCGTTTATATATATGACATGACGTGAACACTGAAGATAACCCCATAGGGAAAGTCCACCAATAATCATGCCAGGAATCTGACACGCTCGTATTTATTCATCGAACATGCCATGAAGTAAAGTGAAGCATACCTTGATAAAACTATATATAATCTGTTGATAAGCCAAGGATGGACAAATAAAAATCTTATACCGAACATAAACTACCTAATAGTTTCCGACAGGTAAAATTTTCGGCACTTGGCCGCCATATTGCCAAAATGTTTGATCACGTGATTACGAGATTGACCTTTACGAACCCATGTGCCTCCAATATTTTTATAAATTACTTTTTTTAAAGATATTGAAAAAGGTGATTTATTGACTTTTATATTCAATACAATCGTATTTAAGTACTAAAAAATTAATGAAAATAAATAAAAACATTATCTTGAATAAAAGTATCGAAATCATGTCAACAAAATGTTCTAAATATTGTACACGACTCTATTCAAATGTTCCCGCGAATGACGTCATACGAGATCTCGCGTGGCACCTGAATGTCATGGCCAACTGTAGTCGGCGTAAATTGATATTTTACAGTTAAATAGGCAATTTTAATGACGGTATTAATATTTTGATACTTTAATTGGTATAGAATGATATTAAAATGATTGTTTTATCGTAAAATGCACAAGAATTGATTGGGTCAAGTGTATTTGCAAGTGAAAAACAAGAATAAATCAACTTATGTTATTCTGGTTAGGTTTCGTAACGGGTCTAATCCAAAACTTTAATGCCGCATCTGATGAAAAACAAAAATGTTAAAAAGCGGCTTATAAAGTTTTGGAAGCCAGAACTAGTGATATACTATCATTAAACTATGATACTACGTGAACGCTGAAGAAAGACCGGTGGGTGAAATTCCGACTAATCTTGCCAGGAATCTGATAAGCTCATAATCATTTATAGAGTGTGCCATGTAGAACAGTGAAGTATATGCCAATTAAACTAGGCTAGTAGGCACTCTCCTGGATTAGACACCTATGTACTTTTTCAGTAGTAAAGTTTGTATTTAATAAACTAAAGGAAATGGAATGAACCTTATATATACTACTGGTTTAGACCCCAGAGTCTATCCTGAAACGATGCATCCTATAATCTGTTGATAAGCCTACCAGTACCATCAACTGTAAAAAAAAACTTATTAATACGACCATGAACTACCTAATAGATTCGGACAGGTAAAAATAAAATTCTGCACTTGGCCACCATCTTGCCAAAATATTTGATGAGATTGATTTTTCTTGGTTAATCTGCATGGACAGTTTTAAAGATAAGTTATGGCATAACACCTTTTAAAGACCTTTGAACAGTCTTCATGTCTTTTTATGGCACATAAGGTTGGTTTTACCATTCTAAAATGAAGGAAAAAAAGCAGCAATTGTGGTTGAATTTGACAGGATTGAGGTTTTAGCAGATTACTGATGTCAAAATATTCAGTAACTTAAAAGGCAACAGGTAAATATGCCCGCATAAAAGATAACAGAGCTGGTAAATCCCTGCAACTTAGCAATGAGTAACTGAATTTGCAAATTATCTCATTGTCTTGTATCATTTTACAACATGCTTACTTAAGTATTTTTCTTTAAGTTTGTTAATTATATCTCAAGTTTATGCTTAACAAACATTTCTTTGTACACAATGAATTTTTAAGTCACTGATTAGAACTGCATGTTTTTTAATTTTGTTCCAGGTTTAAAATGGCAACCAGAAGATCCAGACTACAGGTCAAACCAAATATCCTTGGGGGACCTAAGGGACCAGGACAAAAATCAGTGCCAAAGCCATCTGGTAAAGACTCAAGTAAAGAAAGTGAGGCAGGAGCAGAAACTGACATTAGTAAGCACACCAAAAAGGACAGTTTAACAAACACTCCAAATGAAAATAGTAGTAAAGATGAAGCTGAGAAAGTTGAATTACAGACAACATCTGTTCTTTCAGATATAAACAAAGAGGAATCTGATGATAAAAATCTTGAAACAGAAAGTAAAAGTGCCAATGCCAACAAAACTGATATACCAGCTCTGCCAACAAGAGCCAGACTAAGGAAGTTTGGAAAAGTTAATATTTCAGCTGCTAGAGGCACTAAGCCTGAACCCCAGGAGGTAAAAGCTTCAGAAGTACAACCTAAAGAAACTAAATCAGAAAATCTTGAGTGCAAATTAGAGAGTGTGACAAATGAAGGAAAAGAAGAGACTAATAAAGAAAAGAACAATACAGATGATGGATCTAAAACAAATTCAGTTATACAGAGAAGGTCAAGGTTTCCCAAGGCAAAACCTAACCTTGCTGATGCAGGTAGAAGGAGAATAAAGTAAGTACTGAAGAGAATTGTGAATTTCAATTTAGTAGGAGCAAAAAAAAATTCAAATTTGTATAACTTTTTGAAAGCTCATTTGTTTATGTGCAAAATATTCTCCCATAATGCTATTAGGTCCTCCACATATAGGTCTAAAAGGTAAATCGTTAGGATCACAAACTTTCAGATATTCTGACTGTTGTTCATTCAATGAATCAGCAATTGTTTTACTTTTGTGAATTTTTGGTAAACCATAGAAATAACTTGTTGTGTGTTCAAAATTTGTTAGATCGTCAGACTCTTCTTTCATAAGGCCATCACCATATTTTCTAATAATGTCATGTAAAACATGTTTAGTTTTTAATGTTTTTAATTTTTCAATGTTTTTAATTTTTAAAATTAATGTTTTAATATTTCGGAAAGCCCATATGGGCGACCGTACACTCAAGTCGGGCCATCTTAGAGCGTCCCGCCGAGATTTTTTCGTCGATTTGTTTCCAGCTTTATTGGTGGAGGAAGACCCCAGGTGCCCCTCCGGGCATTATTTCAGGCACGAGCGGGCACCTGGGTAGAACCACCGACCTTCCGTAAGCCAGCTGGATGGCTTCCCCACATGAAAGATTTCGACCCGAGTGAGGATCGAACCTACAGCGGTGAGGGACCTGTGATTTCAAGTCAGCGACCTTAACCACTCAAACATTTTCTGACATATTTTTTAGTTGTCTAGCTCACTAATATTAAAAATCATTTATAAAGTAATGCAAACGTTGCATCTACTTCTATAATAAGTCAATGTTTTGAATTTTAATACTTATTTATTACCTCCCTTTATAGAATATTTACCCTATGTATTTTTGTAGCAATTCAATACTTCTTGTATAGAGAGTAAAAGAATATCTCATTTGCAGCGCAACGTTGTATTTTTACGTTTCCCGCACTTTTATAACGTTACGTTTTTGTTATATTTGTTATGATTATATTAAACGTCACTGTCTGAAGATATGTAAAAACATTTGAAAGCGCTAACAGAAATTAACGTATAAAAAATTAACGAACTTTGTACTCTGCATTTCCCAAAACATACTTTTTTATACTAGTATATATATATATATATATAAAAAAAACTTTCTTTTTTTTTTTACAGGGAACCAGCAAACAAAGAAGGAGCATCAAATGCTAGGTATTTAATCATTTTACAGCTGTTTGAAAATTCAATTTTATAAATTTCATTGTTGATTTGCAATGAAACCAAATTTAAGATTATATAAAAAAAACTGTTGAAAATAAGTCTGTAGTATTTATTGGATAATTTCTGAAAGCAAACTTTCTAAAGAGGTCATTAAATGTAATTAAGTTTACTTTTAAATTTTCAGTTGGTAAGTTTATTTGTAAGCTTTCTTTGTTCAGTGTCATCTTTTTAATATCAAACTTTTTGCAAAGTTTTTATTGGAAACATTACTTTGCTCCCGTAAGTGTCAGCGAGTCACCAAAGAAAATTCCAGAGATACTTGTAACTGAGCCATCCATACAGGAGTTGAAGTCTAACAAGAACAAACCAGAGACCTCAGAATCATTACCCAGCACCCTTACCCTGACACAGCTACAGCCAAAACCTCCAGCAACTCCCATTAGTAGTATACTGAAGTCTCCATTAAAACACCCTACACCAACGATTCCAGTGTCACCAGAAAAAAAGGCCAGGACATTTAGTACTTCAGAGGTACGTATAGTCTCTCTGCAAGATATTTCATATTTTTGAAAAATTTTATTTTAACAAAACATAGGGCAAAACTAAAATTTTGAAATAATATGAAATAAATAGAGACAAGCTGTATTGATGGTATATATTGATGGAATTGGTGTATAGTTTATATGTATGTTACAGACTGATCAATATTTAGCTTTACTGTTTGAAAAATAAGGGAGCTATCTTATTCACCCTAGAGTTTGAATAACACTTGATTACGGTTTTCGAAGGAACTTTTTTTATTTGTTTGTATTTGCTTGAAATTTCACAGCTGTCTTCTTAGTCATATTAACTGTAGATCAATCGTATGTCTAGAAAGTCTATTTTGGGAATTATACCATGTGTTGAAAAAATCTAGCTTAATAGTTTTGCATGCAATTTCTGTCTTCACAAGTACTAAAGCACTCTACTCTCAGAGTAATAATTGTAAATAACTGACTGTCACATTGTTGTTGTTATATTGAATTCACTAATATAACATTAGAAAGTTCTGAATCAAAAGCAGAACAAACCATTACCAGATTTAGAAGTGTTATTTAATTTCACCACCTTGGTGAAGATTAAGTAACATTTATGATTATATATATCATATCATTAAATA